CCCGTCCCGTCCCATCCCATCCCATCCCATCCCACCGCTGCTGCTTTCCCGGGGGGGGTCCCCGCGAATTCCCCCCGCGGTGGCGGCGGGACCCGCGCCCGTCCCGAGAGGGCGCCAGAGGCTCAGGAACGGCGCAAAGGGAGCGGGGGAGGGGGGTGCGGGGGTGTCGGTCCGTCCCGTCCGGTGCCGCCCCCGCTGGGGCAGAGGGGGTGGGGAACCCGAACTACCCCGAAAATACCCCGAATCGCTTTTTATTTTTTTTTTTTATTTTTCTTTTTCTCTTTTTTAAAACTTTTTTTGGGGGCGTCCGGCGCGCCCCCTCCCGCGCTGTGACACCCCCCCGCGTCCCCCTTTATTATTATTATTATTATTATTATTCCTCTTTATAACTCTGTTTATTTATATGTTGATATAATATTATTATATATTTTTTCTTCTATGTCTGTTTCTCAGCCCAGTGGTCCCGTCTCGTCCTTCCCCGCGGGGCCGGACCGGGCTCGGCTGCTGCGCGGTGTGGGACCCGCATCCCTTTCCCGCATCCCGGTCCCGCATCCCGGTCCCGCACCAGCCCAGGCTGGAGACCCTGCGGTGGAAGGAGCGGCCTCCCCCCTTCTTCTTCTTCTTCCCCCCCCCCCCAAAAAAAAAGTTTTGCCGAGTTGACCAACTTTTTGTCACCGAAACAATACAAGAAAAGCGAAGGAGCGCCGGGAGCTTCCCGGCGTTATCTGTGGATAAGCGCAAATATTTCTCTCAGCAGAAATAATCTTTATGGATTTCTGTGGATCACACGGTCTCATTTTCATTAGCGAACGGCTCTTCCGCGCGGATGAGGATTAAACCTGAGGGATGCTGGCGGCGGAGGGGTCACTCTGAGTCATTATCTCGGTGGGCAATAAAGCAGATCCCGTTTTTAAGGTTCCGGGAGAGGGGGCTTTGGTGGGAGCTGTTGAGTGCGAAGGCAGCTCCAAAGCTGCCCCCCCTTCCCGCCTCCCTCCCTTTCGCCCTGGGCTCCGCAGCGTGTTCGGGGGGGGAGAGACCTTCGGCCGGTTCTCCCTTTACAAACTGCGCAGCCCATAATTTTTCATTTCAACTCGAGCGTTAAAGTTGGGGCTTTATCGAAGCTGCTTTAATTTGCTGCTTTAATTTGCAGCCTTTGTCCCGCCGGACAATCCTCGGGGCAGCGGCCGCTCGGGGCCGTGTCCCGGCGGGGATCCCGTATCGCGATTGTCGCCGTCACCTTAACGAGGGGGTTTGAAGGTATTGGAAACGGCACGTGAAAAAAAAAAAAAGTATATTAAAAAAAAAAAAAAAAAAAAAAAAAGGCGGCAGGGAAGGAGCTCTNGGGGGTTTGAAGGTATTGGAAACGGCACGTGAAAAAAAAAAAAAATATATTAAAAAAAAAAAAAAAAAAAGAAAAAGGCGGCAGGGAAGGAGCTCTGAATAAACGCAGTTGAAACCCTCTCCCTGGTAGACCCTGGTTGTCTTTAGCTTTCCCTGAAATTATGATGATGATGATTATTATTATAATTTTTTTTTTTTGGCTTGCAAACTTTTGGGAAGTAGTTTTTTCTTTGGGTGAGTTTAAAGGTAAGTGTCTGTCCTCTTTCCAGAGCCTTTGTCTGAAGGAACAGGGGGACTGTGGGGTTTTTCTTCGCGAGATTTTGGGGTTTCTTGTGCCTGAAACACAGAGGACGCTTTTCCCAGCATTATATTTCTTTACTTTGCTAAATATTCAGTGGTCTTGGAGAAGATCCGCTGAGTTTTGTATCATTATTTGCAGTGAAATGGGTAAATTTAGAGCAAAAGAGGTAATTCTGAATGGCTTTCCCTTGGTAATTTCGGCTCTAGGCTAGTGCCTGATGGAATTTAGCTCAACAAATCTCGTTTAATATATGTGTTTGTTGTAGGACATCAAAGAAAAGGCAGGCAGTAGATTGTTCTTATCTCAGCTGGAGCTGCTGTAGCAAAAATCTGAACAAATGTACCTGGAGGAGAAAAATATGGTGACAACAGATTGTTCCATGGCTTTGCTGCTGATTGGCAGAGATAAACACGAGAACAATTTGGGAGGATAATTGATTTAATGAAAAGTGTAATAATTAGAACATTTTTCATTCTGAAAGTCCATCTGCTGAAAGGGACTCTGCCTTTTCATCCCCGAGCAGCCTGTTTTAACCAAAGAAAGTGGTTTGACAAGTTTGAACAATAAACAAAAGAGAAATGGGAAAGAGCTTTCCAGTTATTGTGTGTGATTTTATAATTTCTGGATTATTATTTTTAATTCCTGTTCGATGGACTATTTAGACAACGTGGACAAGCTGATTAATCACAGTCGTTTTGCAGGGTTAGAAGTTTCCTTTGGAGCGGCTGAGCTGCTGCTGCTTTCCCGTCAGGATTGAAGTTTTCTTTTCTTTTGAAAGAATTAACATTGTTTTACCCTAAGTGGCGAGCTCAGATATCAGGAAAGATTGTTAGCGAGGATTAGAGCCCTCGTTTGATGGCTTTTTTCCTGCCTTGTGCTAAATCAAATCACTGTTTTTTAGGAAATAATCTTTCCAAGTGGAGTGGAGGAGACAGGAGTTTGGGCAGCAGAGGGAACAGCACCGTGTGGGGCTTCTGGGGGAGGTTTTTCTCTCAGAACTTACGGTGTTGATGCGCCTCAGATCAGTTGTGCTGGAATAAGATCTGGTTTATTGGTGTTTGGTGGCATCTGGGGGGGGTTGATCGAGCTCCCTGGTGAAGTCCAGCCTCCCCTCTGGCCCCCCTGGCCGTGGGGTGGGTCTTGGATGGGTGGTGGCTTCACCAGGGATGCTGTGATGTCACCCCGTCCCCTCTGACCTCACACAGGCCAGCAGAGCCTCTGTGCCCCACCACGAATCCCCCAGGGGGTGAGAAATCCAGGGAGAAGCTGGTGCTGCCTCCCAGTCCCGGGAAAGGCTTTTTGCGACGGGCGCAAAAGGGGAAGGTTTGGCTTAGAGTGGAATTCTCTGAAACAGAAGCATTCCCGCAGCCTCTCTCTCAATTTCGATATCAAAGCTCTGTCACTCACTGATCAGTGCCACGAAACCTGACATTCCAGATGGGGCCGTGCCCTTGGATCCATCCGGGATGGTTTTTCTGCCGTGCCTTTGGACGCAGCTCTCGGCAGGGGAGGTGCTGAGTGCGGGGCAATAGTTCTCACCCTCTGTCACCCCCTCCCAAACAGGGCCATTTCCCTCGGTGTGGGAGCAGTGCTGCATCCCACCCACCACAGCAATGCTCCCACACTCGGGCTTTTCCCCCTGTGCTGCAGGAGGGCTGTGAGCCGGGAGGGCTCAGCCGTGTCCTCTGTCGCCGCTCAACGTTCTCCCGCCCGGCACAAAACCTTCGTGTTTTAGCCCATTTTTCTCCCATCCCCTTTTCCCAGCCGTGGTCGGGCCTCCAGGGCAGGGATCCCACGTTGTGCCAATCCAGGTGTTACTGCCTTAAGTGCCAGAAGAGTTCCTGCTGCAGGGATGAAACCTGTGCTCTGTTTTTGGGCTCACCTGCCCGAGAGCTGTGGCACCATTCCCAGGACACGGGGTTGGTGTTGAACCCCTTCTGACACTGTGTCATATTCCAGCTGGTCCAGAGGTGTTGGACACCTCTGCCAGGGCCTCCCCAGTGGGGTTTGCACAGGGTTGCCCTTTTTTGTCCTGTATCTATTTATTTTTCAAAAGCCTCAGCGTTTCTCAGGCACATTCTGGCACGTCCTTATCAGAAGGTCATTGCACAGTGAAAAAAAAAAAGGAGATAAAGGGCAGTAGCTGATGGGTGACGTACTGGGGGCAGAATTGTCTTTAGTTTTGTAAATCCAGCTGAGAATTCCATAGTATTTGATATTTATGTCATTGTATTAATTTTTAAAGTTTATTTTTCTGCCTCGTCGTGCTAATACACGGCCCTCAAAAGCTGCTGCGCCCTGAGCTGGAGGCAACACGGTGCGTGGTTTAAGCTTGACAAATCCTGGCCTGGGAATGGGTGAGAAAACCAGTGGACAGGCATTTTTTTCCCCCTTTTTCTGTATATAAGGTAACCAGGAGCCTGAAGGCTCCAAGGCAAGTGGCTGAAAGATATTTGGTTTTAATTCATGCCTAAAAATCCCACCCTGATGGACTCGCTCTGCGGAGTGAAGTGAAAGAAGCTGAGGAGTTTCGGAGCAATAATCCCGGCGCTGTGGTGAAATGATCCCGATTATTTCCAGGCTGGGTGGCAGCGTTAATGTGACCACGTCTGTCTGTTTTAGCTATTAAATACCTGCACACTCATCGGGGCTGGTCAAGCAGCGGCGCTTGAAATCGTGTGGA